TCATATGCTCTTTTTCTCACAGATGGTACCCAACTGACCCTACTATACTGTGCAGTTGACAAAATCAAAAACAAACAATGCATGTGTGTGAAATTAAAAATATAAAATGTGGATAAATAATTCATTACACTGTTGAGTTACATTATTTTACATGCAAATACCCTTGGGAAAGGTATGAATCCATCTCCCTCTCCCTGCAGTTATAGGTAAATTGCAAGTCTATAGTTTTGGGTTGTAAATGAGCTAGGGGAAGGAAAAACTGAACTCAAAACCTGAGGAGAGTCATTTGGGGACCTTGTGGCACACTATGTGAATCAATCCTCTGTATTTGGCATTTCCCAAAAGTATACTTGGATCTGAACATGCCTTCATCACTATAATCAAATCATGTATGAGTAGTTTGGGAGTTTGATTCTAAGAACTGAGTTGCTGCACCGTCAAATTTTGAAAAAACAACATGATAGGAGAGTCATTCACATATATACATATATTATACATACACACACGCACACACACAGAACACACAAACTCAATTAAGCTGAAAAATCGAATCATCCTTGATAATGGCTAAAGGTATAGTCGAAAGCGCTCGGAAATATAAAACATTTGGACAGTTCTTACACACCCTTTGTCCAGAAAAGAAAGCTCTTGTTAGAATAGAACACTATATATATATATATATATATATATATATATATATATATATATATACACACACACACAGGTAAAAAGTTTGGAGACACCCTGCATTTCTTAAAAAAAAAAAGAAAAAAAAAAAAAAGAAACTTAAAATGAGATATTTTGCAATTTTCTAAACATATTTGCTTTTATTATGCCAAAAAAGTATTTAAATATAAAAAGTTATCATGCAACAGCATCATATTTTGTTTTTGTCAGGAAAAGCATCATCTGCTTTAATTAGAACTTTACAAATTCTTGGTATTCTTTCCAACAGTTTTTTAGAAAAAGTAGATGATGGTAGACTTTCCCCAAGCATTCTTCAAGCACTGAAAAGGTCACGCTCACTGTTTGGGTATTCTCTTCGAACACTCTTATCCAATTCATTCCATACTAATTCAATGAGAGAGAGAGAGGCCAGGATATTGAGGTGGCCAAATCATAATTTCCAAAATTCTGTTTTTTTTTTTTTTTTTTTTTTTTTTTAACTCAAAGTAATTTTGATATAATTTAGAAGAGTGTTTTGTATTGTTGATTTGTGGAAAAGTGATTTTTTTTTCCAATTATGTGTAAACCAGATAGTATAGCATATCTTTACATAACTGAATGCTATTATTCTTTTTTCATGATTCTCTTGACCTGAATAAAATCTCGAGCCCTTTTGGCCATCTTATAATTGTTAGCGAGGAGGTTAATGGTGAAAATAAAATATAATGCTTCTCATAAAAATATCTATAATTTAGCAAAATCTATTATGGACAGACGAATTTGAGCTTTTTGATAGTAAGAGGAGTCTGTAGAAAGACTGAAAAATAAAAGCAAATACACTGTCGTTACTGAAATGTTATCTTTTACTTTAAAATAAAAATACAAAATCTCTCATTTTAAGGTTTTTTTTTTTAAAGAAATGCAGAACATTTTGCCTGTAGTGTATATATTTAAAAAGAAAAAGAAATGCAAAACTCTAAACATAGGAATTAAAATACTTAAGAATACATAAAAAAATAGAAAGATATGAATAAGTTTCTTCAACCTATCTAAAAAAAAAAAAGAAGAAAAAAGCAAGAGATAGATTCAAAACATGAATTGCTCAATATCATGATATATGATACATATTAAGGAAAATTTTAACTGAATAGTATATTTGATACAATCCTCACACTAGTAGTGACTGAAACGGAAGTCTGTTTGATAAGCTCAGAGCTTTGTATTTGTAAAATGCTGAGCTGTTAAGGAAAGGCACTTTTTTTTGGATTTTTTTTTTTTTTAGTGCTGAACTTAAAAATAAAGAAAAAAGCTTCTTTGAAAGGAAATCAAAGTACCCTTCTTTGTTCAGCTCAAGTACAACTTGATTTTTTTTTAATTATTCACTAAAATAACAACAGGGCAGTAAAATGATAGGATTTAAATTTTAAATGTGTGCCCACTAAAATAATATTTAAGGTACAAAAAAAGATAAAAATGTAAGGAAGAAAAAGTAACTAGGAACTTTTTTTCTAGGTCTGCAAAAACCAAAATGGCTCATTTGAAAGAAATCCAACAAAGTTATCTGCATATACAAACAGAAACATATTAGAGTTAGGTTAGCTGGTGTATCTTGGGAAGAACTGCTTTCAAGATCAGCAACTTCCTGTTTATTTTATCAAGTCTACTTTAAACAAAACAGTGGGGAGACCTGTTAGTTGGGCAGTTATCTTCACAATGCAGCACAAAATCTTTTTTCCTTACAATATGCAAATGTAAGGATTTTATTTTCTAACATATATTTATAAATAGAGGTTAAATTTTAAAATTTAAGAATGCTTAAAATTTTCTTAAGGCTAACTGTAAAAGTCAATAAATACAAAAATGCAAAATAAAATCCTTACATTTACCTTGATCAATTCCATCAGAGATGAAATGCGTTGGTAATGAACAGTTTTCTTTGTCTTTATTCAGTTTTTTTCTTTTTACAGATATAGCTTTTATTTATCTGTGAAGTTTTACACACACACGCACACACACACACACATATATATATTTGGTTGGATTGATGTTAGCTCTATCTCTGATATTGAGTGCTTTCTAATAAGTACCGCACATATAATATATTATATTCTGGTATACTGTAGGCCAACCACTACCAGTGGTTTCACATATGGTGAATCATGCAATCCTTAGGTAGACTGATTATTGTGTGGTCACCATGTACAAAACCAGTGGCTGTGGTCAGGCAACAATACACTGGAATATATTATGAAATAATAAAATGCTCTGCCATTTTGGCACTGAGCTCTGTTTATCCAATGTTTTCTTTAATAAACTATTTTGGGAATCGTTTTGTGTGTTTTAATATATACACTCCTGGTTAAAATCTTAAGACCAGATACAAAAGGGTTAAAAAATATAAAATACTGTTACTTTAATCAAAATATATTTGCAAAACATTTACATTTAATTAGCATGTAGTTTATCAACAAACAAGTGAAAAGCTTTTAATTGATTAATTTAAACAAACATTGAAAAAGTATTTTTTGATTAGTCATAAAGATAAGACCATGTGTAAAAAAAAAATTACTGGACAAAAATTTTAGAACTAGTCAGTGTGCTCATAGCTTCAGGTGTATAGACATCTACTTAGCTCATTTCCAGCATTAAATTTCAGATTTTAAAATGGCTAAGGGTAAAATTTAAACAAAGTTCGAACAGGGCAGGATTGTTGAGCTCCAAAGACGTGGTTTCTTGCAACAAGCCATTGCAAATGAAACTGGCCATAGCAGAACTGTCATTGCTAAGCTAACTTCATTAAAAATTCAGATGCGTATGCTTCTAAAAAATCAAGTGGTTACCCTAATAAAATCTCATCATCTCTAGACAGATGTATTATTATGTGAGAAGTTAAGAGAGATTCAAGCCTAACATCAAATCAGATAAAATAGAATACAAATGCTGAATGCAGCTCTCGAACAATTCAACGGCATTTAAATAAGGGTTAAAGAACGTGAAACAGCTTGAGAGGCCTTGTCTTTTTCCTCGCCATAAAACCTCCTGTTTACAATTTGATTCCAATTATCAAACTTGGGATGTGGATAAATGGAAGAAAGTGTTGTTTTTAGACGAGAAAAAATTCAACCTTGATAGCCCAGATGGTTTTTAGCATTACTGGCATGTAAAAGATGTTTTCTCAACATGACAGAGTGGAGGTGGATCAATTATAGTCTGGAGGTTCATTTTTGTACAAAGGAACACGAGTTATTTATATATAAAAACTCCCTTGATTGTCCAATGCTTTGATTATCCGAGTGTGAAATGAGGAGAAAAATTGAAATCTTTCAAATATTGTTCAATTATCAAGACTAATCATCTTCTAATATTTCATCTCAGAAAAGCATTTTGAGAATTTAGAAAGCCATACTCAATGTTTGATAAAAATGCTGATAAAATCAGTTGAATTGATTTTTGTTAATTTCCTCATTGCTTTCATACAAAGATACATTTGAATTATCAGAGTTTGGTCACACCAGAGATTATGGCTTACACAACTATCAGATGAACCATGCTTAACTGGGAAATGGAATTTATTTTTGTTTACCCAGCATATGTTTAAAGTCATTTAAAACCTGTTGGTATGAATGAACTTTGGCCATACTGCACGTTTTACAGATTATCAAATTACACAATACAATATTGGATGGTAACATTTCCTGACTGACAAGACAGCTCATTCTGTGGTTTTACTTTTCAACATGTTTTGCTATACTTAATGACTTAAATTGAAATGGCCTCAAATTCAAATGATAAAAAAAAAGAAAAAAATAGGAAAAGGCTCCTCTTGAGGAGAAATTAAATGTTTGCAACATGGTGGGGAAGAAAAAAAAAATCATCTGTACAAACAATGCATTTGAAATATTACTTGATGATAAAAGTTTCTTTCAGGAAATGAATTTTTTCAATAATTTAAGTAATCAATTATCCAGAATTATCTGGACATTATTTTCCAACCCCTGTCCCAAGGAATTTGGATAATTGATGAATTAGCTTGAGGATAACTTAACAGAGTTATATTCAACATTAATTTAAAATACAAAACTGCTGTAAAAAAAAAATTCTTTTTTAAATAATTAGATCTCAAGAAACCAGAGATGAATATCATTAAATTTTTTATCTTGTTTTACTTGGTAAGATGAAGAGTATACCAACTCAGAGCATTGAGATAAAATGCAACAATAAAATGGAAAGAAACAAGTAATAAAATAATAGTAATAATGCATGTGGTACTGACAAAATAGTGATATAAGAAGGGTTCTGAGTAGAGAAAATGATCAGATAAAATATTTACTTACCTCTTTTCACAGTTATATTCAAATTTGATTCTAAACTCCCCATTTTTCTGGAAAAGAAAAAAAAATTGATAGCTAAACATGAGATGAATGCAATATTTTTAAAAGACAAAGAATTGCTGTATCAAAAATACATACAAAATGCTAGATAAATAGGTAGACGTACTCATACAGAGAGAAGCAGGAAGAAAATGAGTAATATATATACACACACACACACACACTACAGTTCAAAAGTTTGAATGTATCTCTCAGAATTAGCATGGGATGTACTTAAGAGAAGAGTGGAAAAAATATGAAAAAGAGCTCTCAAAGTCATTGAAAAAGAATGGAAGCAATTATCAAACTTATACTTTGAGAAACTTTTACAACAAATGCAAAAAATCGTGCTGCAGTCATCAAGGCTAAAGGAGAATATTTTGACAAGAGCAAAATTTAATCATAAAATGTTTTTTTTTTGTTTTTGTAATAATAAAATTTCTAATAAAAAATCATGTCTCACCTTTTTTTTTTTTTTAAAAACTGTGTATAATAATTTTCTCTTATTTGAAGAACTACTTTTTGGGCCAATTTAAAAATATTAGGGGTGGCCTCAAAATTTTGAACTGTAGTATATATATATATATATATATATATATATATATATAAATAGATAGCTAGATAGAGAGAGCCAGAGAGTTACAATTATGGATCACATATAGATTGCATTAAGATCCAGCAACCATTCCATCTGCTTACAAAAGGAACATTGCTAGGATTTAATATACCAGATCTCAAGCACTCTCAAATGGTAGTCTGAATGTGCCTTACTGATAACTGAAAAAAAATCTAGCAAAAATAAGGCACAAACTGAATTACTTTTTTTTTCTTTTAAAATCAATTCATCTCAAGCAAGGCAATAATGTCACTAAGATGCAAGTGGCTACTAAGAGTGAAAGCGAATGAAAAGATATAAACCATAAGTGGCATTTCTTCCTCCATCTTTATATGTATCTAAGACTGATTTCATCTAAAAGATAATTATTAGTCTAAAGAATTTCCTTCTTGAAATGTGTTACTAAGAATTTTTCCCCTTTTGTCATATGTGTATACCCACTATTAGTCTTATATATATATATATATATATATATATATATATATATAATAAATGAATAAATAAATAAAGGTATATTAAGCAGAAAGGATTCATTTAAGCAAGTTTTTTTAGGAAAAAAACTTGCATTATTTTTGGAATGCCAGAGATCAAATATACACATGTATAAATGATGTCATGTGTAAAAGAGTTTACCGACAACACTGGAAAAGAATGTATAAAATATTTATACATATTATTATTATTTTTCTTTTATACACATTTTAAAACACCATCTCCTTTGGTGAAAGATAGTGTATATATAAGTGATGTCTATATGAAATTTGTGTCAGGGTAGATTACTCAGTGTTTTTCTAGTTCACAGAAACTTGAGCCAGCCAATGTCACAGAATTGTCCCAGATTTTTATCTATCTCCCCACACAGCAAGGACTTTTTTTTCAATACCACAACACATTCAAAACCTATCATTTTCTTTGTATTATGTCAAAGGATTTCAGATTTGTCTGAAACCTTTAAGTATAACTTTATTTTTTATTAAAAAAAAAAAAAAAAAAGTCCCCAAACATAGCAAAGACATTTATCAAAAATTTCTATGACAAAAATAACCTATCAAATGAGAGTGTCTGTCATTATCAGTAGAAAGCTAACAACATCAAAGTCAGAATAAATAAGGTTATAGCACTCTCATTCTTTATGCTTCAGGTGAGATGCTGCCAAAACATTAACAGAAAGGGATGTGAAATGATCTAATTACCAACACACTTGACTATTAGTTACATTAGAGTTCATTTTTAAGTGGAATTGATAAAATTCACAATAGGAGTATTAACAAAAATAAGAACAGATCAAAATAATATAAGAAATGAACAATGTAATACAAGGCAAGTATAAGACAATAGCAAAGTAATGCAATTATAAGACAGTAAAAAGAAACAGTATTCTTCTGTCAGCATGGCTGATGCTAACCTAAAGGAGAGTGACTCATTGCACCTTCTAGGGCTAATATTTTTTGCTGGCATGAAACAAAGATTATAATATTGAATAAATTGCAGAGTCTGCTACTAGGAAAGTTGGCTCATTGTAGTGTTCTAGACAATTTTTCTTCCCGGAATCTTTACACATTTATAATGCATTGAATATTGCTGCCATATTTGGTCCAGTGTTTCTGCTATGAATTTAGAGATTCTTGATAAAATCCAAAAGATGAATCTGCAATATTATTGGTCCTGTCATCTGTTTCAGTCACCTTCCCACCACTACAACTTCCCTGTGCCTTTTCTATAAATATCTTTATAGTAATTGTTCTGATGAACTTTCCTTTATGGTTATTTTTATTCCTCCACACTACTACAGACAAACTGTACATATGGGAACTAGTTCAAAGACTTCATATAGACTTAGAGGTATTATGGTGGCTGTAGTAAGAATGATAAGTAAGAATGGGTTGTTTTGGCGTAAGGAATACTGTGGTATGTTTGGGTCAGTAATTGTGGCTAGCTAAGTTTAAGACAAATTGAAGACCAGCCTTTCTCCATCTCCACTTTAGGCCTTTTCCCACACACTTGTATTTTTAAAATAAATATTACTTTCCTTTCTGGTACTTAGACCTCATGAATTTAAGCACAGTACAAGCTTGGTGGCAAGGTTTCATCATTTTACAGTTGAAATGGTCAGATGTAACTGCAAGTTCTATGCTAACAATTTCTTCCTTTCTACTTCTCACTTATAGAACTATCTGCCATCTTCTTAATTTCCAGTCAACATTGATCTTCAATGTCAATCCTAATTCTTCAATTCCTGTTCTTTTATTGTTCTTGATTCTTAATAATGTATTTCTTATATTCTTTCACACACAATAACCCCCTGTGTGTTAGTGGCTTTGTTGCCTTGCATGAGGTGAAATGATTAAAAAAATTATATGAGATACAGTCAAGTGACTACAACCTTCTGACATCAAAGCAAGAGAGAAAAATGTGTGAACAAGACCAAAGAGTGTCCATTTTTATTGACTAAAAAGCAATCTCAGCATGCATCTGTAGGATTTATTGATAAGTTCTTTCGAATTTTAGCATTCCCTTAGATTAAAACCAACAATTTGCTTTTGGACTAATATCCTCATCTTTGTCATTATTATTACAACTTTTCAGCGATCAGCCTTCCAGATTTGTATATGTATGTTGATCAGGGTAACTTTCAAGGAATTTTGAACTGAAGCTCTTTATTTAATCAACAAAACTAGATTGTTCTTATGCTCTGCCTAGGAATATTTTGTCTTGTTCTTATTTGCAAAGAATTCATGTCTTGTTCTTTTCCATGGAGTCTAAGTGTGTCACTGGTAAAAGGAAAGGGTATTAAAATATGAACTGGAACAGACGAAAAAGGTTAAAAGTATGGAATAACATATAAACTGAAAGAAGGAGGACAGACCTGAAAAGAATGACTGTTGATTTTGGGAAAAGATATTATCAAAAGGGCCATGTGGAAGATTTCAGACCATGAGGGCTAAGATGGGAAAAAATAGAAATGTCTTCAAAGATGAAATAAAAACGAAAATTTCTTTGGGTTAATTTTCAATTTGGTCTATGTTGTTCTTGTTATAAAAATTAAGGAATAATGATAATAAATTCAAAGTCAGTTGAGAATTTTGGAAACAAAGTAGAAATGAAGAAATTGATTTATGTCCACTTACTTAAAGTGGAAGTTACGAAAACATCTCTCATGATGGCCAGGTGAAAGAAGGGGTCAAGTGAGTTATAATATTTGGTAATTTTGAAGATGAAAGCAGATCGAGAAACTGATTTATGTCCACTTACTTAAAGTGGAAGTTACAAAAAACATGTCTCATGATGGCCAGACAGAAGAATATTTGGTAATTTTGAAGATGAAGGCAGAATCAGAAACTGATTTATGCCCATCTGTCAAAGAGTGGAAGTGTAAACAAATTGAGAAATAGGATTTTTTAAAATAAGTATGATTACATAAACAAGATATGAAGACAAATACTGCTATTAGCAGGTTAAAAAGAGACAGCTGGTAAATCTCTGATTGCATAAACAAGACAAGCCCCCCCCCCCACCTCCCGATGAAAATTAAAGATAATTACAATTAATGATTAAAAGACTACCTTTCTGCTTACAAAGTTTAAAAAATCAGATTTGTCAAAGAGACAGCCAAAGTAGTGGGCCTAGATGAGATACTAAGAGAGACAGAGTAATTACCTCTGCCCATTTGGACGTAATGGTGTGAGACACAAATAAAAGAAGGAATGAGTTATATGGGCGAGCCAATTACCTGTAACCATTACCTGTAGGAATAAGGGATCTCCTAAATTTGGAGAGATATTTAATATTATAAACCAGACAACAAAGAACTTGTTCACATCAATGCAGAAACATAGGGAACTCTTAAATCTCCAAACACTGTCAGCACCCACTCTGGTCTTAAGTCAAAGTCAATATAAGCAGAGCACTTAAGCAGCACAGAGGTAGAGACAGGCAGAGAGGGAGAGAGATGAGACAGTAATGGATGAAGGTGCTACTGAGATCCACGTGACTTGCTGCTAAGATAATTCCTGACTTTGAGCCCTGTTCCAAGAATTAGTACTGATATGCAAAGTGTCACTAAAGAGATTTTAGTGGGAAGAGTTATTTTTTATCACAAGAACAACATAGACCAAATTGAAAATTAACACAAAGAAATTTTTGTTTTTATTTCATCTTTGAAGACATTTCTATTTTTTCCCCATCATAGCACAACCTACTCTGGTTTGAATCAGTACTATGATCCCCACACAACATGGGTGAAGCAGGGTGTGAACTGAGGTGGACAGCGACCAATGACAATATTGGTTAGCATGGGATGAACTGTAATCAACCTGTCATTCTGCAACTCTGAAGATGAAAATATCATATAGGCTGTGTTTGGCAAGGGTCAGATCATCTGGTCACTGATGACCA